CATGGGCCCAAGCTACGCCTGCCTCTTTGTAGGTTACGTGGAACAATCCCTCTTCCGTACCTACACTGGCCCTAAACCCCACCTCTTCCTCCGTTACATTGATGACTGTATCGGTGCCGCCTCGTGCTCCCACGAGGAGCTCGAACAGTTCATACACTTCACTAACACCTTCCACCCCAACCTTAAATTTACCTGGACCATCTCTAACACCTCTCTCCCCTTCCTGGACCTCTCTGTCTCCATATCGGGCAACCACCTAGAAACCGATATTCATTTCAAGCCCACCGACTCCCACAGCTACCTAGAATACTCCTCCTCCCACCCACCTTCCTGCAAAAATGCTATCCCCTATTCCCAATTCCTTCGCCTCCGCCGCATCTGCTCCCAGGATGAGGCATTCCACTCCCGTACATCTCAGTTGTCCTCGTTTTTCAAGGACCGTAACTTCCCCTCCTCGGTGGTCGAGAACGCCCTCAACCGTGTCTCCCACATCTCCCGCACCTCATCCCTCACACCCCGTCCACGCAATAAAAACCAAAAAAGAATCCCCCTCGTCCTCACGTACCACCCCACCAACCTCCGGATCCAACGCATCATCCTCCGACACTTCCGCCATCTGCAATCCGACCCCACCACCAAAGACATCTTTCCCTCCCCACCTTTATCTGCTTTCCGGAGGGACAACTCTCTCCGTGACTCCCTTGTCCGCTCCACACTCCCCTCCAGCTCCACCACACCCGGCACTTTTCCCTGCAACCGCAGGAAGTGCTACACCTGCCCCCATACCTCCTCCCTCACCCCCATCCCAGGCCCCAAGAAGACTTTCCACACCAAGCAGATGTTCACCTGCACATCTGCCAATGTGGTATACTGCATCCGCTGTACCCGGTGTGGCTTCCTCTACATCGGGGAAACCAAGCGGAGACTCGGGGACCGCTTTGCAGAACACCTACGCTCGGTTCGCAATAAACAACTGCACCTCCCAGTCGCGAACCATTTCAACTCCCCCTCCCATTCCTCAGACGACATGTCCATCCTGGGCCTCCTGCAGTGCCACAACGATGCCACCCGAAGGTTGCAGGAACAGCAACTCATATTCCGCTTGGGAACCCTGCAGCCCAATGGTATCAATGTGGATTTCACAAGTTTCAAAATCTCCCCTCCCCCCACCGCATCCCAAAACCAGTCCAACTCGTCCCTGCCTCCCTAACCTGTTCTTCCTCCCACCTATCCCCTCCTCCCACCTCAAGCCGCACCTCCATCTCCTACCGACCAACCTCATCCCGCCCCCTTGACCTGTCCGTCCTCCCTGGACTGACCTATCCCCTTCCTAACTCCCTACCTACACTCACCTTTCCTGGCCCCATCCCCGCCTCTTCGACCTGTTTGTTTCCTCTCCACCTATCCTCTCCTCTATCCCTCTTCTATCCGCCTCCCACTCTCTCCCTATTTATTTCAAAACCCCCTTCCCCTCCCCCTTTTCTGATGAAGGGTCGAGGCCCGAAACGTCAGCCTCTCTGCTCCTATGATGCTGCTTGGCCTGCTGTGTTCATCCAGCCCTGCACCTTGTTGTCTCTGGTTAACTTGTGTGTTGAGTTTATAAAAAATGTGAACTACTATAGTGGGTGGTCTTCATTTTGAAATCTAAAAAATAACATGGCCTCTAATTCAGATTGAATTAATACGACATTGTTTTGAATTGGACTAATTAAATGATAGTAACTTCAATCAAAATATTTGAAAACACTCAAATTCATTGTCCTTACTATCTGACATAAAGAGTTCATTGAAGTCATTCTGAGTCAATTTAGCTGTGGCATCATCTTGAGGATCCCCACTTGCGTCAGTTTTGGTGCCTTTTCTTTTAGAATCAACAAATCAGTACCAACTTAGGTACTTTAATCAAAAATTCTTAGCCTTTAAAACTAACCCAAATTTTTGGAGTCTTACTTCCTTCTATTTTGTGATATAATCCCACTATATCAAGCAAAAAATCCAGGAATCACTTCAGAAATCTTTCAGATCTTACTGTTGTGGCCATGAATTTTATGACTCAAAATATTAACACTTCCTTCACTTACTCCTTTCCAGTTCTCTTCCTATTTCAGATTTCTAATGTCTAGATTTTTATTTGCTTTAGAAAAGCATATGCTAGTATCAACTGGGTAGAAAAAGATGTGCGTATTTGTATTGCATATTTCGAAGACCTATACAATGAATTCCTTTTGTGTGGTGACTGTTGTATAGATTATCTGGTAACTATTTTCCCAACATATGTTATATGGATTGCAGCAGTTCAATAAGACAGCTCGCTGCCACCTTCTCAAGGACAACTAGGGACAGGCAATAAACACTGGCCAACCAGCGATGCCCCTGTCCCACAAGAGAATAAAAAGAACCTCACGCTTTGGACCAAAAGTCCTTAATCCTGCCTCAATTCCTTGAATGACAACCCTGAACTTAATTGTCTCATGGAGGTTTCAGTGATCCTCAATGTTCAGCTCTATGATGACCTTCTTACTCTTGCAGGCTGCCCCATTAATGATTCTTTGTTTTCTGAACTTTGATTTGACCCAATATGAGATGCTATTGTTGAATGGAATCTACTTGGTTTCCAAGGCACATAGTGTTGTGTTAAAACTTCAAAGCAAAGTCCTTGGAGAAGATTGCCCACATTAGTACTTCTGAAAAAGTGTTTTCCTTCCTTCCTTCTGGTAACAATGCATGCAAGTAGAGCATGTTGATGGATAGTGAGTGCAGTTTTTGTGTTCGCATTTTGAAGTGGAGCTGCCTTTGCACAAAAGAGACAAAATTGAAGGCATAGAAAGAACTGCAGTTGCTGGTGTCAGTGTCAATAGTGTGGAGTTGGAGGAACACAGCAGGTCAGGCGGCATCAGAGGAGCAGGAAAGTCGACATTTCAGTTCGGGACCCTTCTTCAGAAATGGGGAGGGGGAAGGGAGCTGGGAAATCAATAGAGTGAGGAGGGGTGGGTCTGGGGGAAGGTAGGTGGGATGGTGATAGGTAGATGCAGGTAGGGGCAGTGGGGATTGGTCAGTGGTAAGGTAGATGGGGAAGAAGATGGATAGATAGTGTCGGGTCAAGGACGCAAGAGGAAGGAGGGTTGGGGCTGGGGGAAGGTTGGTGGGATGGTGATAGGTGGATGCAGGTAGGGGGTTGTAGGGATTGGCAGATAGTGTCCCACTACCCCCTACTTGCATCCACTTATCACCATCCACCTACCTTGCCCCAGCCCCACCGTCCTCCCTCTGTTTGCTTCTCAGCTCTCTTTCCCCTCCCCCATCCTGATGAAGGGTCCCAACCTGAAACTTCGACTTTCCTGCTCCTCTGATGCTGCCTGGCCTGATGTGTTCCTCCAGCTCCGCACAAAGTTGAAGGGAGATAATTTAAGTGCCTGATGACCACTAACCAGAATAATCTCCAAATCAGTGAAAATAAAGTCTAATTTCTGATCATTCTTTACACTTGGTGCCACCATCCAATATCCTTAAAGATTATATTGCTGACCCCACCTGTGTAATTTTGCCTATAATCGATGAGGTGAAATGGATTCACTGCGTTTTATAACTGCACCTGATTTTCATTTCCATTATGTAATGGATAGCTGACTCAATATTGCCCTGTTTTAAACTATTGTTCAAGGTCAAAATGATCTCCCCCACCTTGAGAAATAGGAGTTTATCAAATTTTATATGTACTTGTGGGGTCCCACAGTCATTCTCTTTGCTATTGATGCACCATATTTGCTGTTTCTACCATCGACAAGATGCACTACAGTAATTGGTCAAGGCTGCTTCAACATAGAAGAACGGAGGAAATGGGAATACGACTCCTTTCAAATTCTCCTGAAATTACGCATTGTCCTGACTTGGAACTATAATGCTATTCCTTCATACTTATTGGGTCAAATTCCTGATCTCTCTCCCTTATACCCAATCACCCCAAGGACAACAGTGGTTCAAGAAGTCAGCTCACCATTACCTTCTCAAGGGCAATTAGGGATGGATAATAAATGCCAAGCTTACCAGTAGTGTCCACATTTCAAGACTTGTTTTTTAAATTTGGCGTACCTATATGCAATTTGACAACCATAAGATGCAGATCGGTGCTCTCAAACTCTTTAATTCAAGACACGACCGATTCTTCTCAAAACAGGACAAGATAATTTTGAGAAATCTCCAAGTTTCTCAAGGTAAGGCCTTCTAAGATTGAAGTGCCCCTTCTTCTGACAGTAGGGTCAGTGCCGTTGCCACTTGGTGTATCTGGTTGAGGGAGGGAAAAATTGGTTTTGGTATTTTAGTGATCTTAAAGAAACTTTTAATAAGTTTTAAGGAAAGCTAAAATGATTTGCTAGAAACCTTGGATTGTTTGCATGAAAGAGCTGTATTTGATTAAAAATCTTGATGAAGATAAGAGACAACTGTTGAACATGACCAAAATCTGAAGACCTGCTGGGCAAGTGACCAGGTTTGAAAGCTATCATGGACAAAATTGCTTTAGACTGTTGAAGACTAACTGCAGTGCTCAACATACTTGCTCTACATTACAGGAGCAGAATTAGAGATGAAGTTAACAATAAGAAAGTTGTCTTCAGGGTGTGAAGGGAAAAATGGCACCAGCAAACAGTTTTTCAGCGTCAAAGAGGAGATTAAGTTGGCGGAACAAAAGCAGTTCAAAGAAGACAAAAAAAAATGATTAATGGCCACTCTGAGTTATCAGAGGACCTCAGATACACGCACGCAAAACTGTATTTTTATCAGGGCATCAGTGCTGAGGAGAAATTGATGCACCCATTGTGTTTTGAATTGGATTCTGTAAGTTAATTACTGGAACTTACAAAACAAAAGTGGAACGTGAATTTTATTTTGAGGAGTAACATAATGATTGCAAATTGTGTGTGTTACCCCTTGAAATTCTGCTAAAGCAGTTAACCTGAAGTGTATGCAAAGTGTATCATTTGTTTCTCTTTTAAAATATTTAGTTTCAAAACCTGCACCAGACTGGGAAGGGACAGCAGTAATAAATGGAGAATTCAAAGACCTGAAGCTTACAGATTATAGAGGCAAATACCTTGTCTTCTTTTTCTATCCACTTGATTTGTAAGTATCAAGATTAACCTTTGGTCCATGAATTGGTGACAGCTTTGGTGAAACACTGATCATAAGACAAATTTAGATTAGGTCACTAGTTAACTGCATTATAAAGCTCAGTGCGCACTGCTATCTTGTATAGTCTTAACCCAGCAATATAATCACTCTCTTGTCATTGTTTCAAATGAGTACTGTATATGTCTGTATGTTTTCATTTTCCAGTTTATAAGAATAGTTCTAGGGCTTGAGTAGTTACTCCTGTTTCGTGAGGTGTATGCTTATTTTTCTATTATTGTCATAAAAGCACTCAGTTTGAGAAGCTCCTTAAAAGAATGAGGGTGGGGGCTAAAGAAAGATGATGATTTGCAACAATTCCCCCATTTTGCTTCTCTCTTTTTCTCATCCCTTCCTCCCTCAGGCTTGCCTTCGATTTTACAATACAGACAAGAAAGGAAACCATTTGTATTATAAGTCTTTAGTTCAGAGAACTTTGTTCTCTGTTCTAGTTGGCAACGAACCGGGCCGAGTGTTAGACCTGTTGGTAGGAGAGCATTTTGGCAGTAGTGATCACAACTCTGTTTCTTTCACGATAGTCATGGATAAGGATAGGTACACACGGCAGGGTAAAGTTTATAATTGGGGGAAGGGTAATTACAATTCAGTTGGGCAAGAACTGGGTAACATAAATTGGGAACAGATGCTGTCAAGGGAGAGCACCACAGAAATGTGGAGATTGTTTAAGGAATGCATACTGCATGTGCTTGATATGTTTGTCTCTAGCAGGCAGAGAAGATGCGGTTGAGTGAGGGAGCTATGGTTCTCGAGGGAGGTCGAGTGACTGGTTAGGAGGAAGAAGGAGGCTTATGTAAGGTTTAGGAAAAGAGGAACGGAAAAGGCTCTGGAGGGATACAAGTTAGCAGGAAGGAGCTGAAGAAAGGGCTTAGGAGAGCTATAAGGGGGCATGAGAAAACCTTGGCGGATAGGATCAAGGAAAACTCCAAGGCTTGTTACACGTATGTGCAGAACAAGAGAATGACCAGAGAAAGGGTAGGGCCGATCAAGGACTGTAAAGGGAATTTGTGCACAGAGCCTAAAGAAATAGGAGCGGTCCTTAATGAATGCTTTTCTTCAGTATTCACAACTGAGAGGGACCTAGTTGTAGAGGAGGACGTTGTGAAACAGGCGGGTAGGCTACAGGAGGTTGATGTTAGTAAAGAAGATGTGCTAGGAATTCTGAGGAAGTTGAAGATAGATAAGTCTCCCGGGCCTGATGGGATTTATCCAAGGATTCTATGGGAAGCGAGGGATGAGATCACACGGCCTTTGGCGATGATCTTTTCATCCTCACTGTCCACGGGTATAGTGCTGGAAGATTGGAAAGAGGCAAACGTTATTCCCTTGTTCAAAAAAGGGAACAGGGATAACCCCGGAAATTACAGACCAGTTAGTCTTACGTCAGCGGTGGGCAAATTATTGGAAAGGGCTCTGAGAGACAGGATTTATGATCACTTGGAAAGGCACAGTTTGATTCGTGATAGTCAGCATGGATTTGTGAGGGGTAGATCATGCCTCACAAACCTTATTGAATTCTTTGAAGAGGTGACCAAACACGTGGATGAAGGTGGAGCAATGGATGTGGTATACATGGATTTAAGTAAGGCGTTTGATAAGGTTCCCCATGGTAGGCTCATGCAGAAGGTAAGGAGGCATGGGATGGGGGAAATGTGGCAGATTGGATTCAGAATTGGCTGACCCTTAGAAGACAAAGAGTGGTAGTGGACGGAAAATATTCAACATGGTGCTCAGTTACGAGTCGTGTACCACAAGGATCTGTTAATGGGTCCTCTTCTATTTGTGATTTTTGTAAATGATTTGGATGAAGGAGTGGAAGGGTGGATTAGCAAGTTCACGGATGATACAAAGGTGGGTCACGTTGTGGACAGTGCGGAGGGCTGTTCTAGGTTACAAGGGGACATTGATAGAATGCACAGCTGGGCTGAGAAGTGGCAGATGGAGTTTAACCATGAAAAGTGTGAGGTGATTCATTTTGGAAGGACAAACTTGAAAGCAGAATACAGGGTTAACGGAAAGATTCTTGGCAGTGTGGAGGAGCAGAGGGATCTTGGGGTTCATGTTCACAGTTCCCTGAAAGCTGCCACCCAGGTGGATAGAGTTGTTAAGAAGGCGTATGGTGTGTTAGCTTTCATTAATAGAGGGATTGAGTTCAAGACCCGTGAAGTTATGCTCCAGCTATACAAAATCCTGGTTCGGCCACGTCTGGAGTATTGTGTCCAGTTCTGGTCACCTCACTACAGGAAAGATGTGGAAGCGTTGGAAAAGGTGCGGAGGAGATTTACTGGGATGTTGCCTGGAATGGAGGGAAGGTCTTACGAGGAAAGGTTGAGAGAGCTCGGGCTTTTCTCTTTAGAACGACGAAGGATGAGAGGTGACTTGATAGAGGTGTACAAAATGATCAGAGGTATAGATAGTGTAGACAGCCAGAGACTTTTTCCTAGGGTGGAGGTAGCTTTTACGAGGGGACATAGTTTTAACGTGAAAGGAGGTAGTTATCGGGGAGACGTCAGAGGTAGGTTCTTTACTCGGAGAGTGGTAGGGGCGTGGAATGCGTTGCCGGAGAGGGTAGTGGAGTCGGCCTCATTAGGGGCATTTAAGCAGCTATTAGATAGGCATTTGGATGATAGTATAAGGTAGCGGTGGAGGTTAGATAGACCTTAGGTTTCGGGTAAAAGTTCGGCACAACATCGTAGGCCGAAGGGCCTGTACTGTGCTGTACTGTTCTATGTTCTATGTTCTAATGTTGCTGTTCACATTGGAGTCTTAACTCCACCAGCCTCCCAGCCAATTACAAAATAGAAATTGACCAGGATCTTGGATTTTCCAACCCCATTGTTCTTCTTGCATGCGCTTGAACATGGGAAAAGATTCTGTGCAATTTCTTCACTTAACCCCATTCTGTTAGAAACATACAAATTGATCGGAGGCAGGCCATTCAGTTCATCAAGCCTACTTCACTATTCAAAAAGATGAGGGCTAACCTGACTGAGGCCTTAACTCCACATTGCTGCCCCGATTACATTGACTCCCTTTTTACTTCTACACAAAATCTTAAGAAAAGGGCTTAGGAAGCTCCATGGATGTTTTGCCCAAAGTAGTTTCTTTCAGGTTGATCTTAGTGGCTAAATTTTGTGTTTTTCGAAACTGCATGCAAGACTTTAAGTATGGGCTTAATATTTAATGTCTTAATGTCTTAATGTCCAATATTTATCTTTGCATCTGGATTTTTACTTGCAAAACATAGCAGATCAGTTATATTGAAATGCCGCTTAAGGTGCTGCTTTGCAGGCTTTCTCAACCTGAACTCCTGATTTGCTCTCCTGTTCTGCATTAACTAGTATTCTGCCATTGGAAGTATAATTTTTTTAAACAAAATATACTACTTGGTATTTACTGACATTAAATTCCATTTGTCTCTTTTTGCTCATCAGTATCTCTATTTATATAGATTTATTTTGGTCCTCACGTGGTTTGTTACCTCCTACTGATATTATCAGAAAATTGGGATAGCATCCCCTTCAGATCCAATAGCCAAATCGTTGATACAAAAAAAAGCACACAGAAAAGGTCCCAAGAATACAATCCCACGAGCCATTGCTATTCATCTCACTCCTAAGAATCTGTCCTAACACTACTCCAAAATGATGGTTAGGCCAGTTACAGCACTGTGCAGATTTAGAACTTTCCCAGGTCCTACGGAGAGGATGTTTAAACCATAGAAAATGTACAATGTAAATTCACCAGAATGATGTTAACGATGACAATCTGTGGTTTCAAGGTGAAACTAGAACACTGGAACTTTTCCAATTAGAGCAGGGAAAGAAAGAGAAGATTGATGTGTCTTTTTCAAAATTCTAATTGGCTACCCATGTGACTTTTTGAAAGTGAAGTATTTGCTGTTCATGTGTTGTCAGTTGGATGTGCACTGCCATTTCCTTGCCAGCAAAATGTGATGTTGCATTTTGCTTTTGTTCTACTGAGTTACTAACAGTGCATATGTCAGATTTTGTTTTTGAATACTGTAACAACAAAGTGTTTGGATAATCTTGCCAAAAGATTAAAAACAGCCTGGTGCCAATCAGAATAAATTCAATGCGATAGATTTATTTGTGTCATGATTGAGTGCTTTTCATATGAAGCCTTGTCTTGTTTTTTGAAAGATAATTGCTTTATTGTGTATTTTCTTTGGGTGCATCACTCTTAAGTTTCTGCCTGTAATCTCTTGCCATTTAGTTATATTCTTGAAGCAAAGACCTGAATCTATAAATGCTCCGTCATTCATGATTGCTTTGTTTTCTTAATTTACAGCACATTTGTTTGTCCAACTGAGATCATAGCTTTTGGTGACAGAATTGATGAGTTTAGAGCTATTAACACAGAAGTGGTAGCTTGTTCTGTTGACTCTCAGTTTACACACTTGGCATGGTAAGTAGATCTGGCACTTGGTGTAATATAAATGTCACACATTTGGAATATTTTGTAATCTAGAATCACTCAGTTCATCAAGCTATGTTATTTTGGTGTGTTTTCTACAATAAGTAATGAGTGAAATTATTATCTTTTCATTGAGGTAAATTCCCAAACGCATAAATTATAATCAAGAATATTTATGTTCGTTAGCAAACACAATGACTTTATTGCATAAGGTTTTACACAATAGAAAATAGCCATTCAGCTCAACAGGTCTGGACTGCTATTTATGCTGTACCCGAGCCTCCCTACCCCCCCAACTCCTGTCATCTAATCCTAACAAAGTCCTTTTCCCAAATATTTGTCTGGATTTCCCTTAAATGCGTCTATGCTAATCACGTTAACCGATCCATGTAGCTACAAATTCATCATCTACCTCAAACGAAATGGTCCCTGTTTGTTCTATCTCCCCTTTTGTGAATACAGGAGGAGCATTGGCTATCCTTGGTATTTAAGCAGGGTAGGCGATGGCCTAGTGGTATTATTGCTAGACTATTAATCCAGAAACTCAGCTAATGTTCTTTTGGACCAGTTGCTATAAACTCTCAAAGAAATGAAACCGGATGGATCACCTGGCGTTGACCTAGGCCCCGGAAAAGATGACGACAGAAACAGTCCTGTTGACCCTGAACAGTCCTCCTCACTAATATCTGGGGGCTAGTGCCAAAATTGGGAGCGCTGTCTCCAAACCCACAATCACTTCCATCTACAAGGGCAGCAAATGTATAGGAACACCACCACCTTCAAGTTCACCTCCAGACCATTCACTATCCTGACTTGGAAATATATCACTGTTCCTTCACTGTCGCTGGGCCAAAATGCTGGAATTCCCTCCCTAATGGCATTGTGGCTCAACCCACATCGGGTGGACTGCAGTCATTCAAGAAGGCAGGTCTCCACCACCTTTTCAAGGGCAATAAATGCTGGGCAGCCAGTGATGCCCACGTCCCACAAATGAATAAAAGAAAAGACACCCACTAGTCACCAGTTGCCACCCTGAAAAAGACCCCTTTATCTGTATTCTCTGCCTTTTGCCAGTATCTTGCCTGTAATGCCATGGACTCTTAGCTTATTTAGCAGCCTCCAATGCGGCACCTTGTCAGAGGCCTTCCAGAAATCTAAATAAATCTCCTTTGTCTAATTTGCTTGTTACCTCCTCAAAGAATTCTAACAAATTTGTCAGTCATGACCTCCCTATGATGAAGCAATGCTGACTCAGCCCTATTTTATCATACACTTCCAAGTACTCCGCAATCTCATCCATAATAATGGACTCTTAAAATCTTACCAACAACCGAGGTTAGGCTAACTGGTCTATAGTTTCCTTTCTTTTGCCTTCCTCCTTTCTTAAACAGGGATGTTACATTAGCCATTTTCCTCTGGGACCCTTCCTGCCTCCAGTGATTCCAGAAAGATCACCACCAATGCCTGTACAGTCTCCTCAGCTATCTCTTCCTATCTCTTCTGGGGAATAGTCCATCAAGTCCAGGTAATTTATCCACCTTCAGATCTTTCAGCTTCCAGCACCTAGTCATTAGTGACAGCCACCACATTTACCTCTGTCCTCCTGACTCTTTTGAAGTTCTGCTGTGCTACTGGTATCTTGCACTGTGACAACTGGTGCAAAGTACCTGTTCAGTTCCTTCGCCATTTCTTTGGTCCCCACTACTACCACTCCAGCATAATTTTCCAGTGATCCAATGTCCACTCTTGCCTCTCTCTTAACTTTTAGATATATAAAAGCAACTCTTACAATCTTCTTTTATATTACTAGCTAGCTTACCCTTGTATTTTATCCTCTTCTCCTTTAGTGCTTTTTTTTTTGTTACTCTCTGCTGGTTTTTAAAGGCTTTCCAATCCTCCGTCTTCCCGATAATCTTCACAACATTGTATGCTTTTTCTTTTGCTTTCACGTGGCCCCTGACTTGCCTTGTTGGCCGTGTTGCCTCATCCTCTGCTTGGTATGTTTCTTCTTCCTTGGGATGAATTTCTGCTGTGCCTCCCGAATTGCCTCCAGAAACTCCTGCCATTGCTTCTCCGACCATCTTCCCTGCTCAGCTCCCCTTCCAGTCAACTCTGGCTAGGTCCTCCCTCATCTTTGTAGTTACCTTAACTCAATTGTAATACCATTACATCTGATTCCAGCTTCTCTCCCTCAAACTCCATGGTGAATTCTATCATGTTATAGCCAGTGACCCCTTGAGGTTCCTTCACCTTAAGCTCCCTAATCAAGTCTGCCTCATATCTGATCACCAAACCCAGAATTGTCTGTTCCCTAGTGGGCTGTAGTACAAGCTGTCCAAAAAAAACCACCTTGTAAATATTTCATGTATTCCTTTCCTTGAGATCTGCAACCAACCTGATTTTCCCAGTCCACCTGCAGATTGAAGTCTCCCACGATTATTGTAATAGTGCCTTTCTTAAATGCCTTTTCTATCTCCTGATTCATTTTCTTCCCCACATCCTGACTACTACTAGGAGACCTACATAATTCCCATCAACGCCTTTTTTCCTTTGCGGTTCCTCAACTCTACCCACACAGATTCTCTGCCTTCCAACTCTATATCACTTCTTGCTATTGACTTTAAGTACAATGCCCTCAGTCCTGCATCAACTGCCCCCCTTCTCTTTGTTGTCTGCTGTGCCTGAATTAGATTCCTGACCCTTTACATTCTCTGTGCTATTACTTGTTCTGGAAATTATAATAACCTCTGCTGAGCCACACTGCACCCCCCTACCCCACCACCACCACCTTTAACTTTTTCCATAGTTTTCATTGCAACTGAACCCACTCTCCCCACTATTTACTTGAAGCCCTATACGCAGCCCTAATTATGTGATTCGCTAGGACCCTGGTCCCTGCACGATTCAGGTGGAACCCATCCCATTGTAACAGCTCCCTTCTTCCCCAGTACTAGTGCCAAAGTCCCATGAATTTAAACCCGTTTCTCCCACACCAATCCTGGAGCCACACTCAATCTTGTTGACCCTGTGCCAGTTTGCTTGTGGTTCAGCTAGTAATCCAGAGATTATTACTTTTCTGGTCCTGGTTTTTTAATTTAGCCCCTAGCTGCTTATATTCCCTTTAGCAGAGCCTGTTTCCTTTTCCTACCTATGTAATTGGCGCCTATGATAGCTGGATCTTTCCCCTCCCACTCCATGTTCCTCTGCAGCCCAGATGCGATATCCTGAACCCGGGCATCAGGCAAGCAGTACAACCTTTGGAACTCTTGATCCTGGCCACAACAGTATCTGTTCCCCTGTTTGTAGTATCCCCAATTACAACTACATTTCTCTTTTCTCCCCCCACCCCTTGAATGGTTCCCTGTACTATGGTGCTATGGTTGGTTTGCTCATCCTCCCTACAGCTCCTGCTATCATACACACAGGGAGCAAGGGCTGAGGCTGCTTCAGCACTACCTCCCTCCTAGAATCCTCAACCTACCTTGCTGGTAGTCACACCCTCCTGTTCCTGACCAAATTTGATGTAGTTAATCTTAGGGGTGTGACTGTCCCCTGAAACACAGCATTGGTAACCCTTGCACTCCCTGATATGTCACTGTGTTTGAAGCTCAGACTCCAATTCATCAACTCTGAGCCGGTGTTCCTCAAGCAACCAATACTTGCTAACCCCCACCCACCCAATTTTGTTCTACTTCTTTAAATTGCAGTTGAATCTCTACTTTGTACTTTTAGGTGTTTATCTATTGAAATAAATTGTAAACACAAACAGTTTATATTTGAATTTTGTCAATGAAGTAAATGAGTGCTCTTCTTAAAGAGGTAATTTTGCTTTATAAAGGATAAATACACCAAGAAAACAAGGTGGATTAGGACCAATGAAGATCCCATTACTCTCAGATCTAACACATCAAATTGCAAAGGATTATGGCGTGTATTTAGAGGATCAAGGCCACACACTTAGGTAACCAGAGAAAATCTGTGTTTTAAAAAGTAAGCCTGATATCAGTTTGTAGTTTACTCCCATGTGACATCAACACAGATTGATGTTAATGCCTTCTTGGGAGCCTTTCATACAGCACAGGTATGACAGCTAACAATGTATTTTAAGAAATGTCTTAAAGAAAGAAAGTTGTTCTTTTTTAATAAAAGCTGTGTACTGCAGATGCTAGAAATGTTGAAACAAACACCAAAAATGCTGCAGAGGCTCAGCAGGTGTGGCAGCATCTTTGGACAGAGAAGCAGAGTTGATATTTTGAGTCCAATACAATTCTTCTGAGCTGAACTTTTTTCTTTATTCCTTCAAAGGATGTGCGTGTTGGCAAACCCAGCTTTCCATGCCCATTCCTACATAACCTGCAGTTGAATGCCTCTCTTCGCCACTTCCAGAGGGGAGTTAGGATTCGACCATTTCCTTCCCTAAAGAGCATTAGTGTTTTCACAATCAATCATAGTTGTCTTGTTGACCATTATTGACAGTGGCTTTCAATTCCTGACTTTGTTAGTTGAATTTAAATTCTCCCAGTTACCTGTGACCCAAAGCATTAGCCTTGGCCTCTGGATTACTAGTTCAGTGGCATTAACTCCATACCGCCATCTCCCCTGGGGGATGCAGGTACAAGGAAGGAATTTCAGAGCTTGTGGCTGAGGTAACTATAGATACATCTCCCAGTGGAACAATTATAATTGGTCATGCAAGGGAGGCCAGAATTAAAGGAGTGCGTATAACTTGAGTGTTTTGAGGTCAGAGACAATTAGAGTGTGGGGGTGAGCCACGGTGAGAATTTTAAAGTCAAGACGTTGTGTGTCTGGGGGCCAATTAGGTCAGAGGGTTTGGAGGTGATTAGGAATGACAGGGGACTTGCTCAAATTAAGGTACAGGCAGCAGAGTTTTGGATGATCTCAAGTTTATAGAAGGTAAAATGTTGGAGACTAGCCAGGAGTGTTTTGGGATAGTCAAGTCTGCAGGCATGAATGAGGCTTTCAGTAGCAGAAAAACCTGAGGCAGGTGAAGTTGAGCGAGGTTGCAGAGGTAGAAAAAGCCTCTTTGAGATGGCACAATATGAAGTTGGAAACTCTTCCAGAGATCATTACTGACACTGGACTTGAGAACAGACGAGTTCAGTATCAGGCTGTTGCCAGGGAGTGGGTTTGAATTGGTAGTTAGAGGACGGGTGTTATAACTGGGAAGCAAGAACAATGGTTTCAGTCTTTCCAATAACTTGGAAGAAATTTCTGCTTGGCCAGTACTGGCTATCAGATAAGTGGACTGATAAATTGGCAACAGTGAAGAATGATGAGGTAGAGCTAAGTGTCATCGGTGTACATGTGAAAGCTAATACTGTGCTTTTGGATGATGTCACCGAAGAGCAGCATGTAGGTGAGGAAGACTAGGGGCCAAGGTTAGATTGTTGGAGGACACGAGGTAGTGGGAACAACAGGAAGAGGAGCCATTCCAGTGATTCTGTAGCTATAATTAGGTAGAGAAGGCTGGAAGCAAATGAGAGTAGTCACAACTGGACAAAAGGTGACAGGTGTCAGAGGAGGATGGTGTGGTTACTCTCAAAGGCTGCAGACAGGTCATGAAGGATGAGGGGCAAAGTTTACGACAGTCACGTTGCAGAGGACTTGTGATTTTGATAGTTGTTTTGGTACTGTGACAGGGAAAAACCTAATGGCAGGGGTTCAACATTGAGTCCTGGGAAAGATAGAAATGGATTTGGAAGGGGGCATTACATTCAAGGAACTTGGAAAGGAAGAGGCTGGAGATGGGAAGTTAGTTTGCAAGGATGGATGTTTTGGGGAAAGGGGTGATGACAAAAGATGGAAAGGAAAGAAACACAACACCTGAAGAGAAGGAACCAATAACCGTATCAGCTGATTTGGGGAGCAGGAAGGCAAGTTGGCTGATCAGTGGGAATGGGCCCAAGGGAGTAGGAGATGAATCTCATGGCTCAGACAGGATATGAGGGGAGGCAGGAGAAAAACTAGAAAAGAAGGTCACAGCAGAAGGCTAGGACAAGGAGGAACATTAAAAGGAAGTTGACCAGGTGGACTAGTGGAATGGCAGGTAGGAGCTGATTAGATGGTTTGTATCTTTCTGACAAAGAAATCTGAGTTCCTCCCACTTGCTGGTGGTGAGGATGGAGACTGCTGGGAGTGGAGTTGAAGAAGATGCCCTGCAATAGAGAAATGTCTGTGCATTCCAGGATGCTCCTGCAATAGTGAGCAGTATCTAGTAGTATTTTAAGTTATGGTTTAAAATATCACAGACTGCACTGAGGTTATTACAAATATCCAAAAGAATATGCTGCTTTGATCACCAATTGCTGGAGTGTCCAACCTGGCCTTACATCATTACTGAAATTCATACATAACAATGCAAACTGTGTGGAAGGACAGCATCCTGTTAATGGAAAATACAATTTGCATAGCCGTTGAATAGAAGCAGTGTGAAATTCCATCCTCAACCTAATCAAATTTTGGAGGCATTTTGTCTCTTCAGGATAGTTTGTATTAGATTGGAGACTTTTCTGGTCTGAAAATGGCAGCTTTTGGCTCATTTGCTAGTTTGCGTAATGAAGTGAGAACTTCTAAAGATAGCCATTGTCCCAGATGGTAGCTATCTTGCTCTATTTCTGCTTCAGGCTTGCAACGAGGGTGGTTCGCATGTAATATGAACTTCCTGAGGAAGTGGTGGATGCGGGCACAATTACAATATTTAAAAGACACTTGGATAAATACGTGAATAGGAAAGGTTTGGAGGAATATGGGTCAGTAGCAGGCAGGTGGGACTAGTTTAGTTCAGGATTGTGTTTGGCATGAACTGGTTGGACCAAAGGGTCTATTTCCGTGCTGTATGACTCTGTCTCTAGACCTTATTTAGGCAGATAGCTGATAAGGCTAATCTTATGGCTTGTGGACCTCTACAAATCTCAACATGTATATATCTGTGTTGTACTTTTTACTAATATTCCTTTGCCCTGAGTGAAATGGCAATAATTGGATAAAAACTTGGAGGTAATATTGTTATATGGCACTACTTATTAGAATCACAAATTTACAAGTCTTGCATTTTGCACATTATACTACCAGTTAAAGAACAGATGATCTGGCTGTGGTCCAGAGAGTACTCCTGTTATCGAGGTCACTGACGTAGGACCCCACTATCAAGAGTTGTTCTTCAGTTTTCACTGTCTTCTCTGAGTCCCTGCATAGTGTCACCCTTATGAGTATTGGTCTCAGGGTTCTTATTATCGTTGTGCTAGCTCCTAACTCTTTTATACCATCAATGACTTTTTTAGTTACCTCTGTACTTGTCTTAGAATCATAGAATTCCTACAGTGCAGATAGAGGCCATTCAGTCCATCGAGACTACACTGACCCTCTGAAGAACACCCCACCCAGACCCAATTCCCCCCACCATATCCCCATAACCTCACATTTTCCCTGGCTAATCCACATAGTCTACACATCCTGGACACTATGGGTAATTTAGCATGGCCAATCCATCTAACTTACCCTAATTTTAAAACAGTGTGCCTAATTCTGTATGTCTTTTTAGGACAGAAATGGGGATAATTTTTTTTTTTCAATGGCTTGAGAGACTTTGAAACTCCACCACAAAAGACAACATGGTCATTAAATATTTTTAAGGCAGAGGTCAATTCTTGCTGGAAAAGGGAACCAAAGGTTATTGGGAATAGGTCAGAATATGGAATTCAAAAATCATGCATATCAGCCATCATCTTATTGAATGCAAGGCTAAGGGGCAAATAGTTTACTTCTGCTTGGATGTTTGGATTCTGAAAGACAGGATGAAAAATTAAAATACTTGAAGGCTGATATTGCAAGATACAGATGCTTTAAAAAAAATCTCTGAAAGGAAATTGAAGTCAGATCAAATTTCTGAATAGTTACCAGAATTATTCAAGGCAGTATCATTTTCCAACAAAGAAAGCAGAAGAGCATAGTAGGGAATAAAATGTCATCTGGATGGTTTTTCCTCTGGGACAACCATCAGGATTGCAATTACAGAATGCTAAAAGGCAAAGTAAAATAACTGGTTGACTACACCTGAAACAACAGATCTAACTTGCTGAATGGTTGATTTGATTAAAAAAAACAGTATTGCTCCTAGTTTGGAAAATCACACATTCCATCCCTGTTCTTTGCTTTATTGCCTGATCTCAACAAATTCATTTTTACAGTGAACTGATTAATTTAACATTTAATTATGTAGGAGACTAATCAGTTTGGCATTCTGGTCCTATTCTGAGGCCTCTACTAGGTTGTTGCAAGGACATGAATGTACTTTTCTACACTTAATCTGCCAAAATTTAATGTCTATACTCACACATGAATTTTGATCACGTGAGCAAGAATGGTACCTATGCAAACAGAATGCAAAGTTAAAACTCAGTGAAGGGAAGGAAAATAATTTTAAAAATTATAGATGTTTGAATAGATTGAAAAAATCAGTAAAATGGTTTTAGTACATTGGTTCTAAAGCTAATTTGTATTTACAATCTATTCTCATCACTCTTAGCTACTACAGACAAATTTAGGTTCAAGCATGCATGCACCATGAAACTCTCAAACAAAAATTACAGACAAACTAACTTGAGAAGGTAAAGTATTAAATTAATATAAAGCCTGCTTTTTTTTAATTGGAAGGCAGTCTTGCATAATGACACCAGTGGTAAATAGGTTTGAAGAAATCATGTAAATATCCTTTGACAAATTTAACAAGCATATTGAAATTGGTCTTGAAAAATAATACTATTCTTTTCCACATCTTTGCCAGTTAGAAAGGACGTGATATTCTTGCAAAACTTTGACTTGTCTAAGACAGAAGAGATAGTGCTACTCTTTAAAATAATGCCCTTCATGTACTTGTAGACTAAAGCCCAAAATCACTTCAAAATAAATATGGAGTAGCTTAATAAAATTACAAAACTAGTTTCTTTTTAACCAAGTCAAGTCAAA